CTGGGCTGCAGGCTGGCAATCCTTTACTCTATGTCTAAAATCTACATATCAGTTAGTACATACCATGTTTGTCTTTTTGTGATTGAGTTACCTCGCTCAGAATGGTTTCTTCTAGTTCCATCCATTTGCCTGTGAATTTCAAGATTCCATTGCCTTTTCCCCCACGCTGAGTAGTACTCCATTGTGTAAATGGACCACATTTTTTCTATCCATTTTTCAGTGGAGGAGCATCCAGGTTGTTTCCAGGTTCTGGCTATTACAAATAATGCTGCTATGAACATGGTTGAACAGATGTTCTTATAGGAATGTGCTTCTTTTGGGTATATGTCTAAGAGTAGAATTGCTGGATCTTGTGGTAGACTGATTCCCATTTTCCTGAAGAATTGCCATACAGATTTCCAAAGTGGCTGTACAAGTTGGCACTCCCACCAGCATTGGAGGAGTGTTCCCCTTTCTCCACATCCTCTCCATCATAAACTGTCATTGGTGTTTTTTGATTTTGGCCATTCTGACAGGTATAAGATGGTATCTCAGAGTCGTTTTGATTTGCATTTCCCTGATGGCTAAGGATGTTGAACACTTTCTTATGTGTCTTTCAGCCATTTTAGATTCCTCTATTGAGAATTGTCTATTTAGTTCTATACCCCACTTTTTAATTGGATTATTTGGTGTTTTGGAGACTAGTTTCTTGGGTTCTTTGTATATTTTGGAGATCAGCCCTCTGTCAGATGTGGGGTTAGTGAATATCTTTTCCCAATCTGTGGGCTGTCATTTTGTCTTGTTGACTGTGTCCTTTGCCTTACAGAAGCTTCTCAGTTTCAGGAGGTCCCATTTATCAATTGTTGATCTCAGTGTCTGTGCTACTGGTGTAATGTTCAGGAAGCAGTCTCCTGTACCAATTCGTTCAAGGGTATTTCCTACTTTCTCTTCTAATAAGTTCAGTATGGCTGGGTTTATGTTGAGGTCTTTGATCCATTTGGAGTTAAGTTTTGTGCATGGCGATAGACATGCAGTCTTCTACATGCCAGCATCCAGTTATGCCAGCACCATTTGTTGAAGATGCTTTTTTTATTCCATTGTATAGCTTTGGCTTCTTTGTTAAAAATCAGGCATTCATAGGTGTGTGGGTTAATATCAGGGTTTTCAACTCTATTCCATTGGTCTACCTGTCTATTTTTGTGCCAATGCCAAGCTGTTTTCAGGACTATGGCTCTATAATGGAGTTTGAAATCAGGAATGGTGATGCCTCCAGAAGTTCTTTTATTGTATAGGGTTGTTTTGGCTATCCTGGGTTTTTGTTGTTTCTGTTGTTGTTGTTTTTACATATAAAGATGAGAATTGTTTTTTCAAGTTCTGTGAAGAATTGTGCTGAGATTTTGATGGGGATTGCATTGAATTTGTAGATTGCTTTTGGCAAGATTGCCACGTTTACTATGTCGATCCTACCTATCCAAGAGCATGGGAGATCTTTCCATTTTCTGGTGTCTTCTATAATTTCTTTCTTTAAAGACTCAAAGTTCTTACTATACAGGTCTTTCACTTTTTTTTGGTTAGCATTACCCCAAGGTATTTTATGTTGTTTGTGGCAATTGTAAAGGGTGACGTTTCTCTGATTTTTTCTCTCAGCACAATTATCATTCATATATAGTAGGGCTACTGTTTTTTTTAAGTTAATCTTGTATCCTGACACTTTGCTGAAGGTGTTTATCAGCTGTAGGAGTACCCTGGTAGAGTTTTTTTGGTCACTAATGTAGACTATCATATCATCTGCAAATAGTGAAAGTTTGAATTCTTCCTTTCGATTTGTATCCCCTTGATCTCCTTTTTTTGTCTCATTGCTCTAGCTAGAACTTCAAAGACAATATTGAAGAGGTATGGAGAGAGTGGACAGCCTTGTCTTGTTCCTGATTTTAGAGGAATATCTTTGAGTTTCTCTCCATTTAGTTTGATGTTGGTTGTTGGTTTACTGTATATTATTTTTATGATGTTTAGGTATGTTCCTGTTATTCTTGATCTCTCCAAGACCTTTATCATGAAGGGATATTGGATTTTGTCAAAGGCTTTTTCAGCATCTAGTGAGATGATCACGTGGTTTTTCTTCTTCAAGCAACATAGCAAACCTCAACAGGTACAAAAAAATTGGAATAATCCCCTGTGTCTTATCAGATCACCATGCTTTAAAGTTAGAATTGAAAAACAACACAAATTGCAAAACCTACCAACTCATGGAAACTGAACAACATGCAATTGCACCATTCCTGGGTCAATGAAGAAATAAAGAAATTAAAGACTTCCTAGAATTCAATGAAAATGAAGACACAACATACCCAAACTTATGGGACACTTTGAAAGCAGTACTAAGAGACAAGTTCATAGCTGTAAGTGCTCACATGATGAAACTAGAGAATAGTCACACCAGAGAGTTGACATCACACCTGAAACCTCTAGAACAAATGGAAGCAAATTCACTCTGGAGGAGTAGACTCCAGGAAATAATCAAACTTAGGGCAGAAATCAATAAAGTCAAAACAAAGAAAACAATTCAAAGAATCAATGTAACAAAGAGTTGGTTCTTCCAGAAAATCAACAAGATAGACAAAGCTTTATCCAAACTAACCAAAAGGCAGAGAGAGAACATGCAAATTAACAAAATCAGAAATGAAAAGGGAGAAATAACAACCGACACTGAGGAAATCCAGAGAATCATCAGGTCATACTTCGAAAACCTGTACTCCACAAAATTTGAAAATTTAAAGGACGTAGACAATTTTCTGGACAGATATTACTTACCAAAATAGAATCAAGAACAGATAAGCAACTTAAACAGACCTATAACCTCTAAGGAAATAGAAGCAGTCATCAAAAGTCTCCCAACCAAACACAGCCCAGGGCCAGATGGCTTCAGTGCAGAATTCTACCAGAAATTCAAAGAAGAGCTAATACCAATACTCCTCAAATTGTTCCACACAATAGATGCAGAAGGCTCATTGCCAAACTCTTTTTTATGAGGCTACAATTACCTTGGTACCCAAGCCACACAAAGATACAACTATGAAAGAGAACTACAGACCAATATCTCTCATGAACATAGATGCAAAAATACTCAATAAAATACTGGGAAACCAAATCCAAGAACATATCAGAAAATCATCCACCATGATCAAGTAGGCTTCATCCCTGGGATGCTGGGTTGGTTCAACATTCAAAAATCTGTCAATGTAATCCACCATATAAGCCAACTGAAGAAGAAGAGCAATACATGTTTTTAGCAGTAAAAGAATGAGAAGATTACCATGTCTGCTGTTTAATAAAGTTTTTATTACAAAACAACCATGTTAGGAAATTCTCAAAAGTAGAAGTGAACATTTAAATAGGAACTAAATAAGCATGCCAAGAGCAAACTCAAGACACAAATTTACTTTGCCACTAAACAAAAAAAAGAAGCAGAATGCCCTTCATTTTCAATGTACTCTTAAATGTTTGCACATTGTATTCCTGCCAGCAAGTGCAGTATAATCAAGTATATAAACAAAAACAACTCCTTTCAGGCCAAATGAACAAGCCACATAGAAATACTCAATAAAAATATTTAGGAAAACATCAGTGTTATATATAATTCTGGTGATATAATTCATTACAAATTACTTTTCTTCATTAAAATGTCTGACTTGACCTTGGAAATGACACACAAGAGTCTGTGGGATATGTGGCCCCTCTGTGATGCTAACATTACCAGATTACACAGATTCAGTCTAACACTGCTCTATGGACAGCACCAAGAATGTGCGCCATCTAAAATGCCATTGGTAGAAACGGGCAGTGTACCAAGTGCCAATCTCCATCTCTTTAGTTAGTTGGAAGTGAAGCATCTGTCTTCCCCACAGCTTCATCTTGGAAGAGCAGCTTTCGGAATATATTTGCATAAAATGGTCCATACACCTGTTTGTTGAGATTCACAATATTTGCATATTGACAGCCAAGCACTTCCAGCTCCTGATGAATGACACCAAGGCCCCCTGGCATGGGAGGCATGCTTTTCTGAGTGCTTGGAAGACAGAGTAGGCTTTTCATGTACAACCGGATCCGTTTATCTAAAGGAAAAACAATGGTATCTTTACCTGTTCCATTATTAAAGTCTATAATTTAATAATAAGCAGTAAGGCTCCCATTTACCCCTGCCTATACTCAAGTGGCTTTACAATTTCTTCATTCCTCAAGTCTGAACTGGCTTTGTCATCTGTGTTTTGCTAATGCACAATGCTATAGAGGTACCAGGATACCAGATACATGCCTAAGCCTCAAGATGCATGACTGACTCCAATCTGCCTACCATCAACCATGTGAATAAAGCTGATACTGCTATGGCAAGACTGAGGAGGGAGAAACCCAGCTCTCCAGATCTATGGGAGTGCATTCTAGAGGAACCACCTCCCACACTCCTGATAAGAGGCCAGTCAGTATCAAGAGGGCCACCAACCTAAGCCATAGAAACATAAATGAGTTGGACATGGCCAAAAAACTACATAGCTGACCTACAGACCATGAGTAGGTAAAACTCAGGTGATTTGAGTTTTGGAGTGACTTTTATATATAATGAGAGATGGTTGATTAGAAAAAAACTGTGCTTTTGTGAGGTAGAAATTTTCTTTTTATTTTTTACAAAAGTCAATGACCAACATCTACAATCATTACTGAAGCTAACACTGTCAGGCAAACATTGTATTTCTTTGGGGCTTTGTTTTGTTTTTATAGAAGTATTTTAAAATCAGGGATTTCATACTGAAATCCAAATTTTTGGTTCTATGAGAAAAAAAATCTAGAAACCCAGCACACTTGGGATTTCAACATAAGACAAAGGATGAGTGGCCACACATCTAGGTTTCCCAGAGACAGCGAAGTTCATGTCTATTGCTCTAGTATTGTTAAAAAACAGTAGTACTGTGCCAAGCACCTTGGCTTGGTAATTAATTATCCAGCCACTCTGCACAGGAGCCACTGAGGAAGGGCTGCTCCCACAGCACTGCCATCAGTCCCCGTCCTAACCTGCCTCACTGCATCTTACTGTGTGACTACTGATACAAGCAAATGAATGTATGCATAGATTTGGCTAAGTCACATGATTAGTAGTGCCAATTATATTGACCACAGCATGTACAGGTCCAAGGGCTGACTCTAGCTTTGGAAACAAAACCCTCATAATTATGAATGGTTACTGATAACCCAGTCCACTGAGCACAGGCAATTATGACATTAAATGAAACTCCTTTCTTTCCCACCTATGAAGACACATGGTCATGAAGCCTGGTGTGGCCTCAAACATACTCTATAGCTGCACTATGGATTACCTCCACATCCCAACTGGTGGGATTTACAGATATGTGTCAGTCTGCCTGTCTTTTGACATTAACCAAATTCTTATCTTCAAACACTGTTTCCCACAACTGACTTTAGAACTTGAAAATTTCCAATATCCATGTCTTAGAATTTTTCATCTTATTAATAACCTCCTGTCCCATCCCATTCCATCTCTTCCCAGGTCTCCTTCAATGCTGAGTCTCTATGGCCCCTCTGACCATCTGTTACAGACTTCCATACAGTTTACACTAATATACACGTCTGTCTCCTTTCTTGAGACTGAGCTCTCTGTGGGTATGGAGAAATGGAGGCTATGTCTCTTTATCTTTATATTCCTGCCCTGACATATGCACAATAAATCCTGGCTAAATTAAAATGAAAATGGGGTGAAAAAGTTTATAAATACCCAACAGAAAGCAATGGAAGCCTGGAAAGGGAGCCTAGAGAAGGCATGCACAGACAAAATAATCCTCACCTGTATGTTTCAACAAAGAGAAGTCATTCATGTATCACTTAGGCGACTGAAAAAAATCAACTCTCAAAAATGTAAATGGCTTGTGGGCATGCATCCATAGGATTTTTACCTGGCTTTTTTAGTTTGGGGAAAGTTTTGGTTTGAAAGAAAACTCCCTTTCTAACTATCTTTTCAAAGGGTTATGGCATGGTGAGAGGAGCGATGGTGAGAGGGGTAATGATGAGAGGGGTAATGATGAGAGGGGTAATGCCCTTGGCAAATGGACTCACATTAACTGAGAACACAGGGTGACAGAACATGGGTGCCATGCACAGGGATAGCCCATGGCCAGCACTGACAGGGCCCTTCCTTATGCCAAGATCAAGTGCTTAATTTATGTTAGTTTCTCATCATGCAATAACCCAGTGAACTTTCCCTTAGGACTGGCTGACTTTTGCAGACCTGGGCCTAACTTATCACAGATACAATCCAAGAAAGCCTAAAAATGAAATCCTTTTATAATGGTTATTATATCAACAAGTGGTTCTGCCTCCTCTTTGAACCAGTCAAGGTTTAGATCAAGAGTACAGAAGTATTTGTTCAGTTTGAAGGAGACAAATGGAGTCCCTGACAACGGCCTGTTCTTATCTTCCAGAGTCAAAAGAGAGACAGACACTCAAGATAGTCACTCAAGTATCTAAGCAAACAATACTTTGAATAAGATTAAAAAATGTTTCCAATGTGCAGAACAACAAGCAAAGCTGCCCCGGGGAGAGCTGGGAAACAAAAGCTGCTTTACCAGATTTTAAGAGGCATCTCCTACCCCTACCCCTCCCATTTGATATCCAGGGTACAGAGGCACTGTGAGTTCATGGCTCCAGTTCTGCCTGAAGCACAATTAGGAATATGAACCCTGGAGCCAGATAGTCGAGGTAAGAATTTCAACTCCACCCTGTTATTTATCCATGGGCACTACCCTGTTAGATATTCACCCATGGGCACTACCCTGTTAGCTATTTAGCCATAGGCACTACCCTGTTAGGTATTCAGCCATGGGCACTACCCTGTTAGATATTCAGCCATGGGCATTACCCAGTTAGTTATTTAGCTATGGGAATTATCTTGTTAGTTACTTAGCTATGGGCACTATCCTGTTAGTTATTTAGCCATGTCAGTTATTTGGCCATGGGCACTTTATAGTATGCATTAAATGCCATCTGTAGACTCAATACCATGTAGAGAAACAGCAGACAAAAAACACATCCCCTGTGCTCATGAGGTCTGCATACTAGTGGGAAGCCAGTAGCATGTGTTTGTTTCTTCCCCAAGGAGAAAAAAATCTCTCAGATAACAACTGCTCCTTTGGAGACTAAGGACAGAGGCAGGTCAGCATGTGATGTACAAAGGTAAGGGATGTGATAAGTGGCTGTGTCAATTACCATTATCAACTGTCCCCTCTTGGGGGCAGCTTCTACTGCCACCCACAGTGCTTTATTCTGGCACTGGTCCTTTCTCAGGTCAAGGTGAAACCTTGGGGCACCTAAGTAGCCTGCGCAGCCTGACCTGCTAGTAGTCCATGCTCCTGGGAATAATAAGAAGAAAAATCATTGAAGAGCCCCTGAATCCATAATAAAATGCACTATATTGTCAGGACACTGACACTGTACTTGGAAAGCTAACTCTCTTCCTCCTTCTAGGCTTTATTTTTCAGCCGCTGCAGTAACAGAGCACATTTTACAAACACCTGCCTTTGACCTCGTTAATGGTAACAACACACTGCTTTGTGTAAGGGAGCGGTGTCTCTCCACTCTCACTGATGTTGGGGATCAGCAGACTGTTCTGGAAGTGAGTACACATTTCAAGATTAAGTTCTTCTGCCTCTCATGGTCAAGATCAATTCAAGGACAGAATCTGACCTACAGTTAGGCCGCTTACAACCAATGGGACTCCATGTGGGGTCACTGTTAGCTAACAGAAGGGTAAGATGCTTGACTCTTGTGTGACTGATGATGGCAGAGCAAGCCACCTTAATATGTAGGCATCCAGCCCAAAGGTACACAGTGCTGAGATCTGGAGTGGGAAACTCAAACCTCTGATGGCACTGTCAGCAGTTAGTCCCATCCCTAGCCCTCTTAGCTGTAGGAGAAAACACTGCCCTTTTTAAAAACCAGTCTCAGGTAACTGCAAGAGGCCTAGGCATGTGCCATACACCAATTCTCCCACATCACCTGACACTGAGGAGGCTGTTTTCTTGACCAGCAGGCATGAGGAGAGCCACCCATGATGCCTCCGGTCCCAGCCTTTCCCCTCTCTTTCTCACTAACTCTGACTGAGGAGAGGACTTCAGTTCTCTCAGGTGTGCTCATGGCAGAACCATTAACCTCATCCAGTGAGTGTGCAGTGAGTTGGTTTGAACTGCACATTCACCCAGGATTTCCCCAGCACCATACTGTCTTCATAAAGCCCACTGATTGGATAGTTATGATGGGCTCTGAACAGAAAAGCAAGACTAATGAAAATATCCACTTTTCATATTTACCCTCCAAAAGTGAAAGCCAAGTATCTGTGTTGATTAGTTTAAGTCAACTTAGCATAGCTAGAGTCATTAGAGAGGAGGATCCTCCACAGAGGAACTACCTCCTTAAAGTCAGGCTGTAGGCAAGCCTGCTGAACATTTTCTCAATTAGTGGTCAATGATAGGGACTAGACCATTGTGGGAGGGGACACCCCTGTGCAGGTGGCCCTGGGGTCTATAAAAAACAGGCTGAGCAAGCCATATAAGTAAGTCAGACAGAGCACTCCTCCATGGCCTCTCCATCAGTTCCTGCCTCTAGATTCCGGCCCTCACTGATTTTGATGATGAACTGTTATATGGAACTGTGAGGGCAATAAACCTTTCCTCTCCAAGTTGCTCAGAGCAATAGTAAGGCAGTAACTTTTGCCCAGAGTTCAAGATGTATCACAGGTGTTTTAGATGTTTGGGCTTTTTGTTTGGTTGGCTATAGAGTACTGGAGTGGATTTCTAATCTGAAAATCCAAAATCTGAATTGCTTTTAAACACAAAATCTGTGTTTAACACTAAAATATGGCTGATACTTAAATACTGTCAGATACAGCAAGTTAAAGCAAACTGAAACTCAGGCAGAAACTGGTTTAAAAATAAAGAGGACTTACCCATCAAGGTACAGACAGGATTGTCCTTCTCTCCGAGACTTGAAAACTGACCGATGAGATTAGCTTGAGCCTCAGCATTTAAAGTGGGTGAGCCTCTCTCTTTCAGGGCCTTATTAACTTCAGCACAAGTCTGAACACCAATAGAATTCAGGGCTTCCTTCAAGTTAAAGGTCCTAGAAAACAGAGCGAACTGCATCAGGCCAAGTCTGAGTCTTCAGGCATCTTTTGTTTTATTTTAAAATATACTTACTGCAGATGCTTGACAATTTTCTCTTACAGCAACAATAATTGCTTTTATTGAAATGATCAGATAATTGGCCTCTCCCAATTACTAATGTTCTCACACAACAGATTTCTAAGTGCTGAAAACCATGCAGCTGGGTAGCCAGTGTCTGACAGAAAAGCATATAAAACCCCATTTTCACAGATTTAGCAAAGGGACAGAAAATATCCATTTACTTCTTAAACCCACTGGTATGAGTGGATTCTTTCATACACATTTTGAAAGATTTATCTTACATTATGAGTGTTTCACAGGCATGCACATATGTGTACTATATGCATGCCTGGTGCCTGTGGAGGCCAGGGGAGGTCATCAGATCCTCTGGAACTAGAGTTATGGATAGTTGTGAGATTCCATGTATGTACTGGGAACTGAACCCAAGTCATCTGAATGAGCAGCCACATGCTTTTAACCATTTCAAAGATGATTTTAAATAAGCTTATAGAGTAGAAAAAATTAATTTTTCTGTGCCTATAGCAGTAAATCTACAACACAAGTCAAAAATAACAGAGATACTGAGAGGCCACATTACCTGAAGTTCTAGAATGATCATGACCAAAGGCAGCTAATTCCCATAACTACTTTCTAATAACTAACAAATAAGCAAACACCAAAGAGTTGGTTCTTTGAGAAAATCAACAAGATAGACAAACCTTTATCCAAACAGCAGAGAATAGACATGCAAATCAATGAAATCAGGAATGAAAATGGGGACATAACAACAGACACAGAGGAAATCCAGAGAATCATCAGGTAATACTTCTAAAACCTATTTTCCTCAAAATTCTAAAATCTAAAGGAAATGGACAATTTTCTGGTCAGATTTCACTTACCAAAATTAAATCAAGAACAGATAAGCAACTTAAATAGACCTATAAACCCTAATGAAATAGAAGCAGTCATCAGAAGTCTCCCAACCAAAAAAAGCCCAGGGCCAGATGGCTTCAGTGCAGAATTCTACCAGAAATTCAAGGAACATCTAATAACAATTCTCCTCAAAGCATTCCACACAATAGAAGCAGAAGGGTCATTGCCAAACTCTTTTTACAAGGCTTCAATAACCTTGATACCCAAGCCACTCAAAGACACACTAAGAAGAGAACTACAGACCAATATCCCTCATGATCATGGATGCAAAAATACTCAATAAAATACTGGCAAATCAGGATACAAAATTAACTCAAAGAAATCAGTAGCCCTACTATATACAGATCAGAAATCCAATGAGAAAGAAATCAGGGAAACATCACCTTTCACAATATCCACAAGTAATATAAAATATCTTGGGGTAACACTAACCAAAAAAGTGAAAGACCTGTACAATAAGAACTTTGATACCAGAAAGTGGAAAGATCTCCCATGCTCTTGGATAGGTAGAATTAACATAGTAAAAATGGCAATCCTGCCAAAAGCAATCTACAGATTCTATATAATCCCCATCAAAACCGAAACACAGTTTTTCACAGACATTGAAAGAACAATACTCAACTTTATATGGAAAAAAAAAACCCAGGATAGCCAAAACAACTCTTTACAATAAAGGATCTTCTGGA